AGAGAAGAGCTGTCTCCTGTCATGGTGAGTTTTTATACAATCTACCAGGGCTGAAACAATTCATTAGATTAATGATGATTATTCAATTATTGAAATAATCCTCAACTAATTTAGTAATTGATTAATCATTAACTGGAATATAGAGACTCTAAAACATGTCTTTAGCTGACAGAGTGACCGACTTCAAGCAGGAATTATACTAAAATTGCAAAACAAATAATATGAAAATATTTTACATTTGAAATAAAAAATATTTTTTGGCTGTTAATCTGCTCTCTCCAGTTGCATTTATTGTGCTATAAAAATTCAGCATTTTGCCTCTTAGTTTCAGTGAAATCCTCTGAAAACCTCCAACCTATAGCAGCCGGTGTTCTCATAGCCATTCTATCGAACCCTGACAGGGTTTCCTGTCTGAACTATTTGAAAATCTCACTCCAAGGTTTGATGAAAGGTTGGCAGCCCTGAATTTAGCTGTGGGTTCCAGTGGGCCCTTAGCCGTCAGTAATAGCTGGGCACTAGACCTTGGCTGTTGGTTATAGTAGGAATTAATGACATGAAAGTTGGATGTTGGATAAATGATATGTTGACCATTCAGACTGCATACTAGATCTAGAGGATTTAGTACCACATATGGAAGTTTCACAGATTTGTTTTTGTTTTTAGGTGAAAAGTTTGGAGTATTGAGACGACTGTTAAGAGTTAGATATAGGTGGCATAAAAATCTTGCATTTGATTTGCATTTGAATAGGAAGTGATTCTGATCACATGGATGTAGAATGAAAGGAGACAAAATAAAACAAAGGGAACAAAGAAAAAGCTGAACTGAAATACAAAAGAATCAAGGAAAAAAGGAATAATCACAGTTATGTCCGACAACAGTGGACATAAAAAAGATGAATAAAATAACAGGAGGCTGTGAAAAACAGAGTAATTTCTCTTTTGAGGTAAAGGACTCATAAACCATGCTGCTTCCTGCATTTTGCTGATGTTTTTCTTCATTTGCAGGTAAAGCTGTGACCATGATGGCTGTGTTGATGCAGAACCACTTGGTTGTCCTTTTAGCAGTGACCTACTGGTCTTTGCCCAGTTCCTCTCTGAACCCAGATGATCCAAACGTCTGCAGCCACTGGGAGAGGTAAGTCACCTCTATGTGTCTGGAACAGCTGCTTGGTGGACTTTATAAAGAACCAGATCACTCTGATATAAATTCTTGCTTTGCATATTAAGGCTGTATTAAATTGATCAGATGTCTATTTCAGTGTTTCGGGAAAAGCAGTTTATTTACAAAAAATGGATAAATAACTAAACTATTAGGGGAAAAGAGAAGATATAGGCCAAACTATTCAGAGTATAAATCTACAGCAGTTAACTGGAAGGAGTGATTGAATAATAACCATAGCAAAGAGGGTGGCTGTGTGGTTTTTCATGAGGCAGTCATGAGGGAGTCTTTCTTTCTTGCCCTGCAACCAGATTGTTTTGGACACACTTATTTATGTCTCACAGACTTTGCTCAATACTTGATAAAATAGCTAGAAAGGAGAACAAATAGAAATTGAGCACAGAGCATCTTCAGTTTTCTTTCTGGTTTGATGTTTGTCCTTCTGTCCTGTTCTGCTTCCAGCTACTCGCTGACGGTGCAGGAGTCCTATGCGCATCCATTTCATCAGATTTATTACACCAACTGTCCAGACATCCTGAAGTGGTTCAAGTGCACCAACCACAGGTGAGGAACATCTCCAAGAATACAGTCTGAAACATTACCGCTCTCAATCGCAACTACCTCTCTATATAAGCCTGATGTGGTTGGCATTGTGCCTGTGTTCATTTGAAGATCCATTTAGTTTGGTTAGTTTTTGTGTCTTTTATTGTTTCCCTGTTTGTTTCTGTAGTCTAATGCCCCCATGGCATCTTTAAGCTGCTCGCTGCTCCTTGAAGGACGGTTAAATGTCATGTAACGTACATTTGCAGTGACTAAAAGTTCATTATCCTTTCTTCAGTGCTGCTAAGGAAAACAGTCGTGACACTAATAAAACATCCTTGTGATGCGATTCAACAGCTGCTATATCCAGCATGTTGACAAGGAAACAGACCCACGTTGTGATTTGGCTTGTGATACCAGCTGTCATGGAACAGTTTACAATCTGACAAACATTGATCATGTTAAACCCTTCGGTTGTTACTGGCATTCACTCAACACTTCTGAAATGAACTTTCTAAGACCGAACTGTAACTGAGTTGTTCCACAAGTTCTTCAAGTAGCCTTTAAACACAACAATTATACTTAGACTCAACTTTATTAATCCTGTGGGATTACTCCTTCAGGGAATTTCTGCTTCCAGTAGCTTATATAGAATACAAAGAGTTAAAGCAAGATGCCATTAAAGCGGAGGTCTTCAACAGGGGGTCCGTGACCCCTAGGGGGTCCACAGAGGTACTGCATGGGGGTCACGAAAGTTTTGGTTGATTAGACTTTTTTTAATATTCCCTCCTGCAATTTTTCCCTCTAACTGAAATGTCTNGTTTCATTCACAACACCTGTCCCATCAACCAGGAAGCAGAAATACTTTAATAATCCCAGGGAGGGATTACTTTAGTTACATTACTCTATCTGTAATAGAGTGACTATAGAACCAGTTTGATAGAACACTATTTCATACAATACATCGCTACCGTTCAAAAGTTTGGGGTCACCCAAACAATTTTGTGTTTTCCTGAAAAGTCACACTTATTCACCCCCATAAGTTGTGAAATGAATAGAAAGAGTCGTGACATTGACTATATTCCTCTAGGAACCTTCTTTGAAGAGCTTTTCTCTCACTGAATTGTTAAACCTGTAGTGTGACTGTCTCACTTTTTTTTTTAAAGATTTCCACTTTTTGTACGAGAGTGCAATGAATCAGATTGGAGCCGCATGTAGTGTAAACACTTTTTCACCGAGTTGTAAATAAGTGACCTGTCCGCCGTGTGTGTGTTCTTGTATAGGGAGCTTTATCGGACAGCTTATCGCACAGGAGAGAAAATCATGTACAGGAGGAAGTCCCAGTGTTGCCCAGGCTTCTTCGCAGATGGAGAGACGTGCGCCCGTGAGTCTTCCAAACCTTTCCCATCACCTGGATACTGGGTTTTAGCCAGTTAACACATTTTCAATGAGTCTGAGTTTCCAATGGTTTACTGGGGGAGAGACCAGGGACAGTTGCAGTGATGGTTGTTGGGACATGGAGGCAGCATAAGCGGCTGAATATGCAGTTGGGTAAAATTCACACCAATCTAAAATACAGCAGGTAGGAATTATGAAACAAACCAAGACAATTAAGTTATATTTTCTGTTCAGTTCCTGCATTTACTTCACAAAACGTACCTTTGAGAAACTTGACCTCCATTCTGAAAAAAAAAATCAGACATCCATCCGACCGCCGGCGCTCCACTTGTATATTTACATCAAACAGCAGATCGCTTGAAAATAGTCTAATCAATATAAAGTCTAATCAATATAAAGTCTAATCAATATAAAGTCTAATCAATATAAAGTCTAATCAATATAAAGTCTAAATCAATATAAAGTCTAATCAATATAAAGTCTAATCAATATAAACATGTTAATCATCCTTAGAAAGCTCAGTTTTTCCACAATCCAACCACTAAGTCCACTTCTTTTCTTTGGAGGTTTTTGCAGCACTCCTGGCTCGTTTTTTGTAGGCAGACAGGAATCAGGGAGAGAGACATGCAGCAAAGGACCACAGGCCGAATTCAAACCCACGTCGGTCACGTCGAGGACTAAGGCCGTCGAACCCGGGCCATGCACCCTAACCACTGGGCCACTGAAGTGCGCCCCGCCAAGTTCATTTGATGGAAATAATGAGCAGCAAAGCACAATGAATAAAGATAGAGCAGCATGCTAAATCAGAATATTTTAAAAGCTTTGACCTCCTACCTTTGAAGTGATCCTGAGGCTGGATTATAAATCCAATCTTAGACTGTTTATATATAAATATCTATCCTTCTTCTTCTTCTTTTTAAGTTTTATGGCAGTTGGTAAACAACTTTTGGTGCATTGCTGCCACCAACTGAAAAGCAGTGTGGATCTGGATAATGCAATAGCCTACTACGAAAGAATGAAAAAATAAATAAATCCTTTGTATTAAATCAGTCATCTTGAGGTTCCTCAACAACAGAGAACATTCCTCTGACCCTTCTGATCCCATGGCTAAAAGGTCTTTTTTGTGTAATTGTAATTTATTGGCTTGTAATCTATGTATCTGCTAATTTATCTGACTGACATATTTAGTGCAAAATAATATAACGTGTTCCACTGTCTCTTCTGGAAAATAAAAATCACACTTCCCTGAAACCAAGGGTGTAATTTTGTAATGAAAGTTGGTGGGGAAACTGACCACCATCAGTAGACAATGCAGGTGAAGTGTCTTGCCCAAGGACACAACGACCCTGAAAGTCGGAGTCGGGACTTGAACCGTCAATCCTTTGATTTCAGGGCAAACACCTACATCCAACGCTAGTGTCTCCCTACTGTTACCCTGAAATCCTATATCCTCCGCCCCACAGTGCTGCAGACCTGCTCAAAGCAAAGCCTAGAGCCTCCGCTGTTCCTCCCGTATCGCTGCCCTCCGACTGATCCTCGGAGCTCGAGGAGAGCATGCACCATATTATCATTAAATTAATTGGAGCAAAACATGCAGAAATTAACGCTTAATTTAATACGACATATAAAAAAGTCCCCATCAGCATCCAGCAGATGTTCAGTTTCTGATGGAGATGAGAAATCTGCTTCCTGGTCTGTTGAAGAACCAATAGTTTGCATCCAAGCTTTTAAATAAACGGTGTTAGTTTTTTGAAATATAAAAGAATTATGCTCTAATTTGTACTTACCGATCTGTTGTTACTATATTTTAATTTGACAAACCGGATCTTCTCGCTGTTCTTTCTCCTGTTTGGTGTGATTGCAAAAATCTTTTGCTTTTTTTAAACTAGCAAAGAACAAACTATTTAAACAGCTGCTTTAGTCCAACTTATTGCTTTACAATAATAATTTTCAAGGTTTTTTACACACCGTTGCTTTTTTTTGTTGAAAAAGCTCCGTATGTTTGTTGACTTTTTCGGTGGTATCTTTTTTTTTTATGACTGTTTTGTTTATTGGGAATCAAACCTGAAGTAGCTGCTGGTTAATATTAATGATGCTGCTGTGTGTCGTCTCTCCTCCAATCACGTAGCTACTGATGACGTGGTGAATAGCGACAGCCAATCATGTTCTATCATAAAGTGACAGACGTGGAGCCATGGACATAGGATCCAGTGATGTCATATCAGTAGGCGGGACTCAGGAGCCGCGGGATAGCGAGACAGAAACGCTGACTGAAACTCTCAGAACACACAGCCGAGCGCGTCCTGAGGTTACTGTTGGCTAAAGTCAATGATCCCAACACAGATGTACTAACTATTGGTGAGGACATGTCCATACCCCTTTCAAAGTTGGTGGGGACATGTCCATACCCCTTTCAAAGTTGGTGGGGACATGTCCACACCAGTCCTCAGAAAGTTACGCCCATGCCTGTAGCATATTTCCATATTTTAAATAAGGAACAATTTAAAGCTGGGTGGCCTAAGCATAACCTTCATATTATTAATTCCTCCTTTTTATTCCTTGTTTTTTTCTCATATTACCTACTTACTTAAAATATTATAATACCATCTTCCAGTTCTTAATCATCTTGTTCTAATGATTTTCTTAATCACTGTTTTAACTTGACCTTTACTAAATGGAACTATTTTATCAATTAGGATGCGTTTACTTGCTTGCTTTGCTTAATTATCAGTTTTTTTACCATCAGAAAAGTTCCATCCTTAAAGCTAATGTTAGCCGTCTTGCTAATTAGCATAGCTTCCACCAATATTTCTGGTTGATCTTCGGTACGTTTGTTTTCCTCACCTTCCAGTCTACAAAACAAAAGTGTTTCCATCGATTTTGTTTTGAGATTCAACGCCGGGACAGCCCTCAAGACTTTACAAGCGCTCCCTCTTAGCCACCATCTTTACACATCCTTCCCCTCATATTATTCAATTCAGTATATTTCTATAGCCCCAATTTACAACACGTCATCTCACTGCTCTTTACAGTTCACCAGATCATCAAGTCAGATTGATTCACATTCCTCATAAAGTCCGGCTGCTGTTGGTTAAGTTCACATTAAATGTTTGGCTCTGGAACCAATGAATGACCTTTAAACCAAGGCTAAGCATGGCTGATTTTATTCAGCATGGATAAAAAAAAAAAGCCCTAATATTTTCAAGAAGAAAAAAAAACACTGAGTCATGTTTTAACTTTGCCACTTTAGGCTGTGTTCTAGTCACATTGTTTTCATTTATATTTTCAGAAGCACACATGTAAATCATGCTTATAGTTCCTCAGTTATTTGCTTTTCTATTATGGGTTTGCAAAAAGGAGAGGATTTCTTAAAATTAGGTGGGTGTTAAGAGGAGTTATATATTTGTAGAAAAAAAACTCTTCCTTGTCCAAACTGAGAAATCCTGCTTGGTGAGTAAACATATGGCAGTCTTCAGGATATTAAAAACTCTGCAGCCAGAATTCAATTCAACACATTTAGTATACTGCTCCAATTTATTTCACCTCAAGGCACCTTATAAAGCCATTTCATCACATCATCCAGAAAAAAAGTATTACAAATTTCCAAGGAAATCCAGCTGATTGCATCCAGTCGTTGACTTTGCAGTATTTGCTTCTCCTGGATAAACACGTGGAAACAGTAGATGTTTACTTAGCGCCTACACACAGTGAACCTCTGGAAGATGAGAAAATAATTAAACTTAACTGAAAGAGACCCCCTGAAAAAAGCAGAAGCAGCCTCGCTGTGATCCGTCTAGAACCACATCTGAAGGTGTGAGCAGAGATGCCAAAGGAAAACAGAAGCACTGATCCAGGATTAGCTCCTGTGTGAGAGAAGAAGAAAAGCTTAATGGCAGTAGTAGCTTCTCTGGAGCTCAGTGTAGGAGAGGAATACAGCAACACAGTTGAGCTTTGAACCAGTATTTAAGTCTGGGAGATAAAAGACAGAATATCCGCTTAGTCCCAGTAAAGATTAGCCAATAGGAATAAAGAATCCCAATTACCAGTTAAACGACGGGACCAAGTGGATCTTCATAGAAGTCCAACAGAGGCTGCGTTCACACTTCAGACAGAGGAGACTAAATCTGTTTATATTACCCTGAAGTGACTCAGGTGAGATTAGCTCTTGACTGTGTGAACAGTCTGAGTCACAGGGAATCTGACTTTTTCCAATCCCACCTGGAACACATCACATTTATGTGGTTTTAAATCCAGTACAGGTTGGATAGTTTGGAACATGACTGCAGTCTGAACAGCTTAGCGACTCATATCAGAATGACGATCAGAATAACTTAATTACTACTTCTATGGATGCCAACCTTTGCCTTGTCTCTCAGTGTTTAATGCAGTTTACCTTTGAGATTCACAAACAGAAGGAGATATTGCTGCAACTATGTACTAGTTTAAAAAAAGTTTTTTGTGCTGCTGCCTTTCTGTTGAGTGCTGTTGCATGTGTGCTGTTGTGTGTGTGCGCTGTTGTGTGCTTTTGCATGCTGTTGTGTGCTGATGCGTGCTGTTGTGTGTGTGCTGTTGTGTGCTTTTGCATGCTGTTGTGTGCTGTTGTGTGTGCGCTGTTGTGTGCTGTTACGTGCTGTTGCGTTCTGTTGGTTGCTGTTGTCTGCTATTGCGTGCTGTTGCGTTCTGTTGTGTGCTGTAGCCTTCTGTTG